CTTTAAGTAGTCCTGGGACATATGCCCACCTGGCCGGTGCCCGCCCTCCCAGAGCACGCTTTCTTCTCCTGGCGGATGGGCCTCTTCCAGCTCGGCCCGGTCAGCCAGCAAGTGACCAAATGTCCCAGGGCTTCTCGCCTCCCTTGTCACAAGATGCCTGCAGCTGCAGCATGCCCTGTGGGTCCAGCAAGTCCGAGCAGCCGGCGCATAGAACAGGGTTGTGCTGGACCATTGGAGAAGTGGAACAAAGCTGGAGATCAGTAGCCGCCTCTTTCACAATGCAGAAATCCTCCCCAAATTGGCCAGTTGGTCTTCTCTTTCTCCACCTGTTTGTTTTGTATGTCCAAGGGGGAGGAGATCAGCCAGCCAAAGGGGAGGCTGGTGGAGGCAACTCTTTTTTGGTCTCAGCCACCACTTTCGGGCTGAAATCCTCCCCAAATCATCTGGCTGGTCTTCTCTTTCTCCACTTGTTTGTTTTGTATAGCCAAGGGCGAGAAGATTAGCCATACAAAGGGGGGGCTGCTGGAGGCAACTCTTTTTTGGTCTCCAGCCATCTCTTTCAGGCAGAAATCCTCCCCAAATTGACTGCCACCCCTCGGCCATACAGAACAAACAGGCAGAGAAGGAGGAGACCACCTGGCCGATTTGGGGAGGCTTCTGGCGCTGCGATAGAGGCAGCTACTGACCTCCGGCTTCGTTCTGCTTCTCCAATGGTCCTGTGCCACCCTGTTCTATGCGCTGGACTTGCCGGGCCCGGCACATAGAACAGGGCGTGCTTTTTTGGGTGCAGCTGCTGGACTGCAGCCGTACTGAAAAAAGCACACAGCAGCTGCAGGCATCTTGTGACAAGGGGGGTGAGAAGTCCCAGAACATCTGCCCACCCACCTTCTGGCTGGCCAGGCTGGGCCAGGCTGAAAGAAGTACATCCGCCAGAAGAAGGAAGAAATCGTGCTCCAGGAGGGTGGGCATGCGGGCAAATATCCCAGGGTTGCTGCACATGCGCACTGCATGTGTAGCAGCTGCACACATAGTGCACATGTGCAACAGCCCTGGGAGATCCGAGCTGCGCCACAGCCGCCACATGGTAGGGGAAGCTAGGAGAGCGACTGAGGCAAGTGCAACTGGGTGACCAGGTCGGGGGCGTGGCCAGCCAGGGGTTGCTCCTGGTTCAGCGACAATAAAACGTTTTCCAGGATTCTTCTTTTCCATTCTGAAAAAGAGGAAAATAAATCAAAATAAAATTACATTTTTTTTCTATCTCCCACAGTGTACCATTATTCTTTGGATATTATTACCTGGAATAAAAGCACTAGGAGAGGTTTCATAAATATCAAAATAACAGATAATTCAGGAAATACAATAGAATCCAGAATTAATAGGTGAGATATATTTATTCATTTTTGGTACCTTATTTATGCAAAATAGTGTCAGCTATAATTAGAACTAGTTTGAACAAAGATTAATAAAATGAGTAATTGATAAATAACTTTTGAATTAGAATGGAAGTTTGAAAGTTAATATGCAAAGGAAAAACACAATAGAGGTAGTCCTTGGTTAGCAACCATAGTTGGAACCAGCAGCTCTATCATTAAGTGAAGCGGATGCAAAATGGGAAATTACATGAGTGCAACTATTTATTCTTTATCCCTACTCTCCCAACCTTTGAAATTCCCTACCTTTTCAAATGTGGTTATTAATCACGAAATTATTTTTGGAGCACAATTGTAACTTCAAATGACGCTAAATGAGGCAGTCAGTAAGCAAGGACTATCTGTATTGAAAAAATGTTATTTATTAGTTATATATATATATATATATACATACATATATATCTTTATATACACATACATACATACATACATACACACACACACACACACACATATATATATACATATATATTTGTTTTAAGTTTTCGCGGGTATTTATATGTATGGTATTCAGCTTTGTTTGAGTATTTTCCCATGTCATTATAGTTGTGCTTTTAAAGTTGTAGCAACATTTCGGCAGAATCTCATCTGCCATCATCAGGCTTCTGTATTGTGTTCGTCTGTGAGTCAGACTTTCACAGCCGTTTCTATTTTGAATTTGGTGCTAGCCTATGCTGTGCCAGAATGGTTTTTTCTTCATCCTGATTGGTTGGGAATCTTGGTCTGTGCTTATTGGTTTTGGAGTTTGCTGTGTTCTGCTTGATTGGTGTTTCTAATATCTTCTGTCTGTTTTGTAGCTTTTTTTGTCTTGATTGGCTGGCAACATTGTGTTTCCTGTATTGGAGGATTTTAGTGCGGCTTCGCTCCGAGTAAACCGACGGCCATCATTTATTAGGAAGCTCGGTTTCATCTGGGTGCCTAGTTGGGGTGTGTTTGAGCTGGAGGTATCGGGGGAGTCTGTTTGTGCCCAGGTGTTTGGCTGGCTTGTGGTGTGGAGATTTTTTTGTTTGAGAGTGCAGGCTTCCAGATAATTGTCAGTCTGGTGGAGTCATCTCTTCTATTCATGCTTTCAGGTCTTTTTTCAATCTCTATGGCTTCTCTGATAATTCTGTAGCTGGGGTTTTCTATAGTGGCTAGGGTTTTGGTGCCATTGGTGCTATGACCTGTTGCTTTCATGTGTTGGACTAGTGAGGAAGTGTGTTCCAGCTTTTTTACTGCATTTTTGTGTTCATCTAGGCGGGTACTTATTCTTCTATTGGTCTGTCCAATGTATGTGGCAGGGCATGATGCACAGGGGACTTCATATATGCCTTGGTTTTCCAGGTCAATTTTATCTTTGGGGTTTCTTAGGATGGCTGCTATTTTTCTGTCTATTTTGAAGGCAGTCTTGATATGATGCCTGTGTAGTATCTTACTGATTTTGTCTGTAGTACCTCTTATGTAGGGCAGTGTGGTGGTCTCTCATGAAAAGAAGACACTTCGCAAAGTTGTCTTGGGATGAGAGCGCAGAGAGAACTCCAAAACCCTCTTTTATTAGAAGCAATCTTTGTTAACGTAGCAATTTTGTTAATGTCCTATCACAAACGCATTACATCACTCAACATGCACTGATCATTCGCATAAAGTATACAAGGCTGCAGAGTTTAAGTTTGCTACAGTTCTGGTTAAGAAATGGCAACAATTTGTCTTTGCTCCTTGCTTCGTGTTCCAGCCAACTACCAGAAGGCTCCGTTGTCCTAGCACGTACACAAAGAACAAAGAATCATAGTTCCCACAGGGCAGGACAGCTGTTCCATAGGCCGGTTCATCTTCTAGGTCTCCATTATATCTCAGTGTATTTTTGTGGATCAAGCCAGTGATTTTGCTTTTGTGGAAGCTGTTGGCTGTCAGTACTTTAGTCAAGGTGTATAGTTCAGTCTTTATGTGTGTCTTGTCTGCCAGGTGTTTGGTTCTGACAATTAGTGTTTTGGCCACGGAGTTTATCTGTGCTGGGTGGTGGTGGGATTGGGCATTGAGGTAGCAGTTGGTGTGTGTTTTTTTCTGGTGTATGGTGTGTCCTAGTGTGCCATCTGTTTTTTGTTTTTTTGTTTTTTGTAGATTAGTACATCTAGGAATGGTAGTTGTTTGTTTGTTTCCATTTCCATGGTGAATTTGATTTTGGGGTGTGTGCTGTTTAGGTGTGTTGGAAATTGTTTAGGTTTTCTTTTCCATGGGGCCAAATCACAAATGTGTCATTGATGTATCTTAGCCATAGTTTGGGTTTGTGGGTGGCATTGGCTAGGGCTCTGGATTCAAATTCTTCCATGAACAGGTTTGCAATGATGGGAGACAGTGGTGATCCCATAGGGGCTCCTTCAATTTGCTTGTATCTTTGTCCTTTGTATATGAAATATGTGTTGGTTAAGCAGTGTTCTGTTAGTTCCATGAGGTGTTTGGGTGGTTGGTATTTATTTTTGATGATTTTGAGAGTTTCTTTTATCGGGACTTGAGTGAATAGTGAAACCACATTGAAACTTACAAGCAGATCTTCTTGTTCCACTTGTAGATCTTTGATCATTTCCAAGAGCTGGTATGAGTATTGTACATGTGAAGCTGCTGCTTCAGCACGGGGCTGTAGTTGTTTTGCTAGGTATTTGGCTAGGTTTTGTAGTGGTGCTCCTCTGGAGCCAACTATGGCTCTGAGAGGTATGCCTTCTTTGTGTATTTTTTAGAGGCCGTATAGTTTGGGGCATCTGGAAGATTTTTCTCTTGGAATGATCATCTGTTGGATATCTTTACTTGTGTGGCTGGTTATAATTTTCTTCTTGGATATTTTTTCTAGATATGTGGTTGGGTCTGTGTTTATGGGTTTGTATGTGGAGTCTTGGAATAGGTCTGTCAATTTTGTTTTGTAGTCTTTTTTATCCATTACTACTGTGGCATTACTTTTATCTGCTGGAAGTATGATTATGCTGCTGTCATTCCTTTAGGCTTGCAGGGCTTTTAGTTCCTCTTTGTGCAAGTTGCTTTTGGGTGGTTTGCTTGTGGATAGGATGTTAGTGACTTGGTGTCTTATTCTATCAGCTTCATCTGTATTTAATTTAGTTAGGCTGGATTCCACTCCACATATGATGGATTCTGTGGGGATTTTTTGGGATGCTATAGCATAATTGAATCCTTCGGTTAGGACATCTGTTTCTGTTTTGGTGAGTTCTCTGTTGGAAATGTTGTATACTAATTGTTTCAGGTGTTGTTGTGAGTTGTTGGGGGCTTTCTTGTCATGTTCTAATTTCTTTAGTTTCTTCAGGAGTTTGTCATTTTTGTAAGTGGTTTCAGTTTCAGCTCTCCAAGTAAATTGTTTTATCTTGTCCCAAAGTAGAGGGTGGATTTTGTTGCTCAATTCCAGGTGTAGAATTAGGAAATCTTTGTTTAACTGATCGAGTTGGAATCTCTTTCTGTGGAGCTCATTCCTGAGTAGAGCCATTTCAGTTCTTTTCAGGATACGTTTAGTAGCTGCTGTGCTGTGATGAAATGTTAATTTGAAGCAGGTTGGTGCTGCATCGTTGTCTCTGCAGCTGTGTAGGAACTTGAGGTCACATAGTATTCCTGCTCTTTTAACTTCCAGCTTCTCGTAAAGCTACAACTTTAAAAGCACAACTATAATGATGTGGGAAAATACCTGAACAATACTGAATACCATACATACATACATACATACATACATGCATGCATACGCGCGCGCGCGCGCACACACACACACACACATATATATACACCAATCTCACAATCAAGTGACTCTGGGTGGGATACAAAATTATACAACAAAGTTGGGATAGATAGATGAAATCTGAGAAAGGCAGTCCATCAAATAATCCAGTCTTATACCATGTAGAGCTTTAAAATTTTCACCTTGTACTAGACTTAAAAACAGACTAGTTAACAATGCTGCTTGCCAACAAACGTATAAACATGTGTTTGTACAGAAACACATAACTACCTGCTCTGTTGCATTCTGCAGTAGCTGACACTTCCAGATGCTCTTCATGGACAGCCTCATGTAGAGCACATTGCAATAGTCCAGTCATGAGGGCATGAGGGACTGCGAGTAGAGCCCCCTGATCTTGGAATACAAAATGCAGAATAGGAAGTTGAGCAAATACTATTTCAGTCAGATTTTCTTTCTCTTTTCTAATTATGCTGTTTATTTTTGCTACCTGCCTAATATATATCAGGAGAGGGAGGAGGAGAAGGGAAGGGAGGGAAGATGAGAGGAGGGAGAAAAAGAGGGAATTTGCATTCAATTACATAAGTTAGTTTATATCAGTACATGCAAATTCAGAAATTGCTATTGTGTAAATAGAAGGTATTTATAGTAATTGTAAAACTCTTTATAAAGGTGGGTGCATCCAAAGACTGAATTAAATTTAAAAAACCACTTATTTCAGTGCTCAATGGAAATATAAATGTAGCAGTACCAAAGGAAGAATAAGAAAGTCGGTGGTGTAGGAGGCTGGAAGTGGCGATTGCAAGTGACTTCCTTCACTTCATGATTGTTTTTCAACAGACAATCTCAGGTGCACTGATACCAAAAGCCAGTGCCGATAGCCATAACTGTCTGCCTACCTTACAGTATATGTACTAAGTAATTCAAAAGGAGGAGGAGTTTTCAATAGGCACAATCCTGATGTAGCAAAGATGGTGGTGCATGTCTTTTCTTGTCTTCTGAACATTCATGGACAAATACCGTAGGTGGCTAATTTTGCTTATTCAGCCTTCAGCTGACAAGGCTTAAGGTATAATAAGACCTTTCGTAGGTAAATCCACACAGTGCTGTTACAATCTGTACTGGATATATTTGAGAATCCAGTTGTCAAAATATATTTTCTGCTCTTTCTGTCTGGACCAAGGTTTGTAGTTGTTTCTATATTCTGTTCTGGTTTGTTTTTTAAAAAAAGATGTTTAGAACCCATTGCAGGACAGCATGAGTCTTATTTTATAAAGGGGCATACATTGTATAATTCTTTTTTTCCCCTTTCTTTAGTGATGTAGCTGTATTTCAACAATACAGGCAAACAAAGATACTTGCTGGATTTTATCTGGATTTTGGAAACATTTCAACAATTGGTTTGACATTTTCTACAAGGAGTACAGTGGGCCCCAAGTACAAGCTTAGGGTTCTTGAAATGAGGTTAAAACCTCTTTCGCATCCAGAAAGGTAACACAGATTGTCATTTTATAGTAGCTTCATGATCTGGAAAAAGAATTTAGGAAAAGATAGCTGAACCATAAATCCTGTTGCTTAATTATAGCACTTACAGATAACATAAAAGTTTTGATTGAAGACATTGTTTCTTAAAGTAAGGCAGCAAATAAGTACAGAATTTACTAAAACTGCATCTAAGGCAGTGGTGGGATTCAATTTTTTTTTTACTACCGGTTCTGTGGGTGTGGCTTGGTGGGCATGGCAGGGAAAGTAAAATCCCCAGTCAGTTTTTATTTGCCAGTTCTCTGATCTACTCAATTTCCACTATCAGTTCTCCAGAACTGGTCAGAGCCTACTGAATACCACTTCTGAATATTACTTATGTGCAACAAAAATAAAACATACTTTTTCTTGATTGTATATCTTCTTCTCTCCGTACAGGATCCAGCTATGTAGATATGATTTAATACTTGTGGAAAATATTGAAACATCTTTTATACCTGTTCCATGCTATGAGATAAATATGCAAGACAATTGAATATTTCAGGATATTGTATGCAAGAAATTAAAGAGAACAATGTGAACTGGTAATGCTTAATTGGCTTCCTTCAAGAAAGTTAATTTGTCAATTTTATGACTACCTCTGAAGATCACAGAATGAACTTTTAAAAGAAATTCAGATATTTTTCATGTGCCTAGTTGGATATGCTAACAATCAATTTCTAGTTAATGAGCATTCAGAGCTGTGAATTATTTTTTTAGATGATTTCATTTTCACGTATGCACAATCATGTTCAGATACCATTGAAATTAACTTAATATAACTTAATAATAATAATAACTTAATCACCAAATGCAGGATCATACTACATTAAAATATATGTGTCAATACATTTATATTCAGTAGATCTAATATTTTATTATATGAATAGGAAATGCTATAGTTTAGAGAAATAGGCTCAAACCAGCATTTGAGCAGATGAACAAAGATTCTCATTAATGGAGCATCTGTTCATAATGACATCCACAGGTTGGTAATAACTTGTTAAATAGAAACTGAAATTGAATCAATATAATAATATGCTTTATGAAACAGATACAGCATAATGCAGATATAATTTGTAAATATCCAGAATAGAGAAGCTACAGTTTAGCTCATCTTATTGATCCTAAAACACAAACAAAACATGTATTACAGCCAGTCTCTTGGTAGCATCAATCAAGCCTCTAAGCAACAGAATTATTAAATATCTTCTGAAAACCACCTTTGCATGTTCAATAGTTGTAGCTGCTAACTATTTGCAAAATTTTGCATATTGTTCGTATGGATAAGAAAGTACCTCTTAACTGGTGAATAACTTGGTTGTATAATGATCAATATTGTTTAGCTTGTGAACATTATTGTTAATTTAAATAAAATATTTATTAAATCATAGAGCAAATAATTACAAAGACCTTTATAAGTAACAAGAATATATATATATTATGGATGTTTCTTTCAAAGATCTCCATAGCAGTTTTAAGAGAGAAATCTATTGGTTTGGGACCATCACTCACTGATAATACAAAGCAAAAAATTGAACCATTTTTTATTTTTGTTTTCTCTCCATTATTGTATGTATTATATGGCCCTATATATTGCACTGTTCTCTAAAACTTGGTGGTGTACTTGTTGTGCTATGCAAATCTTACCACTGTTATTTGTTTTTTGTTTAGTGTTTTTGAATCCGACCATTGTCAGAGTTATTGCCTGATAAATATAGATTTTTATTTTTTATTTTGTCAATTGTTTTCAAGATAATAGGTATAAGTAAAAACATAGTTATGAATACATGGATACATATAAGAAAAATAAAAAATATATAAAAGAAACAATAGGACAGGGGCAGTAGGCATGTTGGTGCGCTTATGCATGCCCCCTACATATGATATACTCATATGAACATATACACATATAGATAATACACACACAAACACACACACACAGAGAAATTTGGATATATATTTTTGATACATGCCTAGATAGATATGGTGGACTAATATCTATTGTTGAAATTAGCTTTGGGTTTTGAGGATAGATGAAGCAACTTTTCCATTAGAGTTAATAGCAAAAAAACTAAATACAACAATAAATAGATGCTATTATGATGAAACTGAACAATGTCCTCACAGATTTACATTTGTGTGAAAGGACATGTACAGACTTGTGAAGATGAAAAACAAGGATTTAATAATTTTCTTAATGAATGTACTAGAGACAAAAGTAATCAAGAATAAATGTATTCAAGCCTCTAACATAATTGTTGATAAATAGGAATTCACAGGGCTTTCCATTTAAACATAATTTTAAAATTGTAAGCAATGTCTACTATTCAGGATATTGATAAAATTCTAGGAAATTTGAAAAAGACTCCCCCGTTGCTAGCACAAGCAATAACCTTTGAGATCAGAGCAAGCAGACACAGCTACAAAATGAAGATTATGGATGGAAGATTTTACCAGAAGCAAGAGCAAAGTGAGAATATATTTATTTATTTATTATTTATTTATTTAGTCAAATGCTTACAATATAATAGAAATAAGAATAAACATAAGTTTCAATATAAGAAATAGGAACTAATAATTGGGGACAATAGGACAGGGACTGTAGGCACAATTGTACACTTATGCACGTACCTTACTGACCTTTTAGGAACGGGGTGAGGTCAATAGAAGTTAGCTTGAGGGTAAAGGAGTGGGGGTTTGAGCAGGTGACAAAAGAATCAGATAGTGAGTTCCAGACATTGACCACACTGTTGCTGAAACCGTACTTCCTGCAATCAACTTTGGAGTGGTTTACATTAAGTTTTTATCTGTTGTGTGCTCTTGTGTTGTTATGGTTAAAGCTGAAATATTCATTAACTGGTAAGACATTGTAACATATGATTTTATGTACTATGCTTAAGTCCAATCTTAGCCGGCATAGTTCAAGGTTGTCTAAGCCTAGAATCTCAAGTCTGGTGGTGTAGGGTATTCCGTTGCAAACAGAGGAATGTAGTACTCTTCTGGTAAAATACTTCTGGACTCCCTCAATTGTATTTATGTCTGATATACAGTGCGGATTCCAGACAGCAGAGCTATGTTCAAGTATTGGTCTAGCAAAGGTTTTGAATGCCCTAGTTTGCAAATCAGTATTACCTGAGGAGAAGCTTCGTAAAATTAGATTTACAACTCTTAAAGCCTTTTTCGCAATACCGTTGAAGTGAGCTTTGGCACTTGGGTCATTCAATATGAGAACTCCAAGGTCCTTGACAGAGTGAGGGTCATCAACAAGGTCATATCCACCTAGCTTGTATTTGGTGTATTGATTTATAAGTGAAATCTTTAAGCTGTCCAGTTAAAGATCTGGAACAGTTTGAAAATATATATGAGTACATGAGAAAAGTAACTATAATGGGAAATGGACAGTGAAGATTCACAATGGATCACTCTGGATCATTTCTTGGGGAAAATAGGCCTAACGGGGAAAAATTCAAATCAAACAGCTGCTTCTCATGGTAGATATTAAGAATTGCAGTCTGCTTATGAGTAGAGTGGTGAGAGTCTGTTGACCCTTATCTAACTTTTACCAGGTGCTGACTATTAATTGAGAAAATTCCTCTTCACAGGCTTTCAGTCAATTTGAATTATTTCATTGGACCTAGTATTTCCACACTGGACATATAGCTTTTTTTTTTTTTGAATAAATTTTATTGAATTTACAATTAAAAACATAACAACATTACATCTACAACAGGGGGAGAAAAAGGAAAGAGAAAAAAGGGGAAAAAAAAAACGCTCGGTCTTGCGAACCGAAAAAGGAGAAAAAGAGGTATAGAAGAAAGAAGAAAACAAAGAAACGGAAGAAAAAAGAAAATACCTTAAAAACAGACAGATATCCTTTTTGACAGTCTGCAAGATCCAATTCTCCTACCTTACTTTAATTATACACATCTTATCACTATTTATGCTTAAATTACCCATTGTTCATTGAACAGTTTATCTCTGAGATAACCAATTATACCACGCATTCCAATTATCATAAAATGCTGAAGACTCTTTATTTTTAAGTGCTATGGTTAAATTGTCCATTTCTGCACAGTCACATATTTTCTGGATGACCATTTGATCTGTAGGTATATAGGATGATTTCCAGCACTGGGCAAATGCTAATCTGGCCGCAGTTAGAATATGAATTGTTATATATTTCATCTTTTTAGGTAAATGTTTATCAGAGATCCCTAGTAGGAAGAACTCTGGTTTGTATTCGATTTGTTCTTTGGTTATTTTCTCCAACCATTTTCTAATTTTTTGCCAGTATTTCTGGGCTTCCTTACAGGACCACCACATATGAAAGTAGGTTCCTTCTATGTTTTTACATTTCCAACATTTTGGACTAGAGTTTGGGTTCATTTTCGCTAACCTCGAAGGGGGTAAGTGCCATCTATATAACATTTTATACATATTTTCTTTGTACGCCACGGATTTCGTAATCTTAATGTTTCTATTCCAGATCTTTTCCCATTCTGTTAATGTAATGCTTCTTCCAATATTCCTACTCCACAATATCTTGTTCCCTTTCACTATCTCTTGCTCTAATTCTACCTCCAATAAATATTTATAAAATTTGGAGATATTCTTTTTATTAGATCCTAATAAGATTTTATCTAAATATTGTTATTTGCTATAGATTCCAAACTCTTTGATATCTTGTTTGTATCTGCTATGGATTTGTATATATAACCACTGGTCCATTTTAAATCCCTGTTCCTGTAAGTCCTGTCGAGTTCTTAATTTTCCTAAAGGGTCTAATAAATCTTTATATTTAGTCATTTTTGTTATATCCAAATTGTTGGGATGAACCATTGCCTCCATTGTTGAAAGCCAAATCGGAATTTTTAAATAATATTTTTTGCATATTTTTTTCCAATTAGTTAATAGTGAATCTCTAATAAGATGTCTATGAAAATACAACTGTTTAGTTTTCCCCACATCCCATAGAAATGCGTGCCATCCTCTCTGAAGGTCGTGCCCTTCCAAGACTAAAGTTCTTTTATTCAGTAAATTGACCCAGTCTTTTAACCATAATAAGTTGGCTGCCCAATAATATAATTCCCAGTTTGGGAGCGCTAGCCCCCCTCTACTTTTTGCATCTTGTAAGGCCTTAATACTGATTCTAGCTTTTTTCCCTTGCCAAATAAATTTAAGAGTTACCTTATTTATATCTTCAAAAAAATTTTTTGGTAATTTTATTGGGATTGTCTGGAATAAGTAAAGGAGTTTTGGTAAGATGTTCATTTTGATCGTGGCAATCCTGCCCAGTAGAGAAAGCTGCAACTTATTCCAAGATTCTAGATCTTTCTTAATTTGCTGTAACAGTTTATCATAATTATTCTCTTTGAGCGATTTACTATGTGGTGTTAACCATATGCCTAAATATTTGACCTTTTTTGTTGCCTGTATCCCCATGGTTTTTTCTAATTCTTTCCTCTGGTTCTCTGTTAGATTTTTAGTCAGTAATTTCGTCTTATTTCTGTTAATCTTTAATCCTGCTACTGAGCCATATTGTTCTAGTTCTTTTATTAGGTTATGTCCTTTTTCCATGGGTTCCTCTAGGAAAAAAACCATATCGTCTGCAAACGCCTGTAGTTTATATTCCTCTGCTTTGACCCTAACTCCTTGGATTTCAAAGTTTTGTCTTATCCGCATTAACAGTGATTCTAAAGCAAATATAAATAAGAGGGGTGAGAGAGGGCAACCCTGTCTAACACCCTTTTCAATGCTTAATGGGCCTGTTTGTTCGCCATTAATTAGTATATTAGCTTGTTGGGTATTGTAAATTGTTGTGATAATGTTCTCGAATTTAGTGCCCAGACTCATGTTATAGATTTTTTGTATTAAAAAGTGCCAATGTAAGTTATCAAATGCCTTCTCTGCATCTAAAAACATGAGTGCAAATTGTTTCTCTGGATGAGCTTCATAATATTCTAAGACGTCAATAACGGTTCTTAAATTATTTTTAATTTGGCGGAATGGAAGGAAACCATTTTGGTCTTCATGAATGTATAAATTTAAAACTTGTTTTACTCTATTCGCTATAATTGAGGTAAATAATTTATAATCGGCGTTTAAAAGTGAGATTGGTCTATAATTGTTGATATATCTGGCATCTACATCCTCCTTCGGAATTAACGCAATCAACGCCCCCCTCCATGAGTCTGGCATTTTGGCAGCCAAAAGTACTTCGTTAAACACTTCCAGCATCAGAGGCCCTACTAAATCTATTGTGGCTTTATACAATTCTACTGGAATCCCATCTGGACCTGGGGATTTATTATTACTTTGATTTTCTATTGCGGATTTTAACTCAGACCATGTAATATCCTTATTTAGTAATTCTTTGTCTCCTTCCCCTATTGTTTTATCATTCGTATTCTCCAAATAA